AGTGGTGAACGGCAATTAGATTTCGTAGTCAGCCTAGCGAGAGGCGGACGGCGATCGTGGCTCACTCTCCGACCTCTTATTATGCCCTATCCGGACCGTTTTCCGACCTCATTCCTGCACAAGTAGTATCAGAGGGGGCGTCGAATACAAACCATGTGCAAATCTCCGAAACCATTTTTTTCGTGAACTGTGCCTTTAAGTACTTAGGCTTTGCTACAGTCTACTTGTTACTGTCCTTAAATCCTACACATCTCCTTTCCAGCCACCAGGTATCGAACTATCGTCAGACAGGCATTGGCTTACATTGCTGGGCGTACGTGCCTGACATTTACCGAAAGTGATACGGCCACCAATCGAGTAAACGTAATCAGCGGTTCGGGGTGTTATTCCTCAATCGGTATGGTCGGAGGCGTACAAGAATTGTCGTTGGGGAATGGCTGCGATCAGATAAGTTCTCCTCAGCTCTCTGACAAATTCGGCCAAAGCTCTCTTGACTAACCAGTGACGTTTCAGATGGGGATCACTACGCACGAATTCATGCATGCTCTTGGTGCATGGCACATGCATCAACGTAGTGACAGGGACACACACCTAATTGTTGATTTGACCTATGTGAAAGTGAGTAAATTAATTCTTTACTTGAACAGTTTTTAGAAAATTCATTAGTAGTTAACACCCATCAGAACTCTCTCGTCCACAAAACGATCCCAACACGACTTAGCCTTTCCTCCTTCTCTGGAGGACCGACTAACTGCGATAACAACTTACACAAATCCCAACTGGCGAGTCATGCTGGCACGATTTCAAAACGAAATCGGTTACTTGGCGTAAACTGGGAACTCGTTAGCGAACCTATCAGTGTTGGTAGTAGTATGTCCTACAAAAGGAGACCATGAGAGTAGACAAAAAGAAACCAGTAGTAAAGAAGTTAGTGTTGATTAGGCTCATCCACACTTGGCCACTTGATCTTCGCTTGGAAGAAGTGTGTCATTAGGTTCGTGGTTGAACACGCTGGGGACAAAGGTGTCCTCCTCAAAGATTCGAAGCTCTCGCATGGGTCTGTTACTAGCTGATCTATCGTTGAGCGATCTTATGGCAATACCCACCTAACCCTTACATTTGCTAATTTACACAATTAAATCAATATGTCTCGAAGACCCTACCAATGTGTTTTTAGCCGGGCTACGAAGGAAATTTTGCTAAAGTCAGTGCCGATCGTACCAATAACTACAATCCATTTGATTACGGGAGTGTAATGCACTATGCAGCCAATCTGTAAGTTATCATACGAACAGTATTCCATTTTGAATTACCCAGATTGTCTTTTCAGATTTACCACACAAGGCTATTCATTGATACCTCGTATAGGAAAATATCTCAGGACCCCGGGAACTCGAGTGGTTTCATTCTACGACATTAAAATGCTCAACGATCACTATGGATGTCATGGTAGGGCACGCCACATCATCGACACCCTTTCGAAATGAAATGCAGAAATGGAAAGGTGTCATTTTAAAATGATTCAGCTCAATGCGGTGCAGCCACTTGCGCCAACGGTGGCGAGCCCAGACCAAAAAATTGTGATGTATGCAATTGTCCAGAAGGTTACGGAGGAGTAAAATGCGCTGCACGCGTAGGTTCATTTATTTTCATGATGGATTTTTTGAAAAGCGTAACTGCTCATAGTAGCCTCTATATGATTTTTGATTTTTTGGTGTTATTGATACCTATTAAATGAATAATATAACTCAACAAATGCCAGTAGATCACCCTCTATTCATGAATATTCATTTCCAGCCAGGTGGATGCGGTGAGACTTTAGCAGCTACAGCTGTCTGGAAAACAAAAACCTTCACATTTGGTAATGCAGTCATCAAGACCGAGCGTGACACCTATATGCGATGTAATCACTGGGTAACGGTGGGCCACTTTTACCTATTAAGTGTTTCTATTATTAAGCCGGCTTACCGTACCTAACTTTTGTCGTTTTTAGGCCCCTGCCGGTAGAAAAGTTCAAGTGCGGGTAACAGCTGTGAAAAACGTACAATGTCGGGTGGGATGTCGACAGAATTCAATCGAAATCAAGTATCGGCCTGATAAAGGGCTCACAAACCCTAGGTAGGCTACTGGTCAACTCCGCTGTCTTCCGATACAAGCAGACTTGCAATAACATCGAATTCATTTCAGGATTTGCTGTGCGGATCTGCTGAATCAAGTCGTCACGAGCGAACTCAATCCGACACCGATCATTTCGTACAACAGATACCTCACATCTACCTATACATTCCAGTACAGATACATTTGAAAGTCTAGTCCAAAAATGACAATAAACATTCATCAGCAGTTTCAATGAACATAATTCCTGATTCCTTGCTAGTATTGTTTTTCTCGGACATCTAACCAATAAGACCTATTCCATCCAATGTTATCGTTTCTCTTCGGAACTCTTCCTTTGCCTGCTTACCTATCTGTAAATTTCGGAATTTTCTAGACCTGGAAACGACTATTATAACGAGGATAGACATTGGTCCCACGATGGCCGGGTGTCGGCACTTCTCTGCGGTTCCCATTTCAGTGCGGCTACCGTATCCTTTGGGGACTACAACTTTTCTATTCACAGCGCACGATCGCGTACGATCGGTTCTGCGAGCGCGACACGATTTTCAGATACCAAATCCATGCTGATATCATCCGTGTGTCTACCAAGGGTATGCGGTCTTTACCTCGGTGGCTACTTTCGTAGTCCGCCGACCGGTGGATTGCGTCCATTACACGAACCTCTGGAAGCCACTGAAACACCAAGCACTGCGATACCAGAAGTCCAGGGTCTTCTCAATTCTATCCATCTCACCATCAGTCTCCATCTATCTGCAATTATCAGGCTGCCGGTTCACTTCTCTATAGTGATTACACTACGATGAACGGAATAAAACAGTCGCGATCAGCAGGTAATAGTTTCTTCCACAACTCAAAAGGCTGCAGCATTCCAATAAAATCTCTTTAAATGGAGGACAAAGACTGAAAGAACCTACGACAAGCCCCTGGGCTATTAGTGGCGAATGGCACTCCTTGTCCTCAAAGCCTTGACTCGACTTACTGTCAGGATGTGTGCTACTACCGAAAAGCATGTAAAGGAACCTCGAAAATCTACGCTTGACTGCCAACCCAGTGTCATCCCGCTTAGCACGTTCTTCTACGATGTCACCTTTGAAGAAGAAAGTTACCTAGGAGCTTCGCATAGATTGATCATTGCTGGAGACAGTGCCTCGAGTAAGCAATGTACCTGACAACAGACGAGATGCTGCTGATAGTCAAAACGTCAAGAGTACAAGCGACAGCTTATGCAAAGCCGGATCTAGGAAAGTCGAGTAAGGTAGTCGGATGACGGACACAGTGGAGGAAGGAAAGAGTGGTAATGAAACTAGAATGCGCGCTATTTGGCCACTGACAGCTGGTAAATAGTCATGCATTTGGAGCGTGTTTCTACGTGGGAACGGTAGTGGGCGCCTGATGCGGGGCGAGCAGTGAAACGAGATACGCCTCAACCACAGACTGGAATAGCGCATGATCATGTCTGAGGCTGTACTATGACGGCTTTTGGTTCTTGATTTTTGTGGATTAGAAGCTATTTGAAACGCCCATGTTAATTCATCTTCACATTCACCTCAAGGATTATACAAAATCAGATAAGAAAAGAGTGGTGGAAGAATTGCTCCCGAATATCTTCCCCTATAGCTAGTATTCGTAACTTTCTACGTCGGAAGCATTCACTGTCATGGGGATAACTTATGAATGATCAGAACTTCATACACCTAGCTATGCCAAAAAACATTTATAATAGTATCAAAATTCTTTGCTAAACGGTAGCCAACCAATTTTTTGGCTTCATCTAGTAACTATCAACACTATCTGATGAGCAACATTGCTTGAAGTTGCTGGAAGCTCAACCCTTATTCTAGTTTAGCTTGTTATCATCATAAGTATAACATAGGGTCACCATTAATGATACAAGATCAAATCTTTGGAATTGCTTGATTAGCTGACGGCCTGGGTCCGCCAATAGCTCTTGTGGGCTATCAGACCTTCACTGTGCATCTACAGTCCAAGAGAGGGCGGTCCAAGTAGAGGACGCTAGTATTTGAGAGTGTTCTACAACATCCAAGCAATTCCGAACTGTCCATTGTGCTACTTTTGTTTCTTGAAGGGAAAGATATATAAAATGCCATGAACCATGACGACACGATTCAACACCAGCCATTTTCATAATTTTCAAACGATTGCAATGAGTGCATGGTCTAGATAGGTTTCACTGGTGAAATGGTTCTTCAGCCGTACTTTTCAGTCGTATCTCCTTTCCTACTGGATCTAATCATGCGAAATTTCTATAATTGGAGCGCGGGTGTATTGTGAATATTTACGACTATCAACCTGCAATATGGTCATGTTCCAGGTATACTAAAGAGCATGAACTCAAAACCAACTGAAAATACAGATGATGGTCCTTCTAGAATCTCTTTCCTTGTTGTCATGTCTAATGTGTACGAGCGGCAACGCCGAACACAATAGATGACAAAAACGCACATAAGGTGCGAATAAGTGCAGACGTCAACAACTTAACTTTTAGCAAAATCTGCTACCGCAACAAACACCTTGCTCTATCTGTGAATATTGCAGCTTTACGGTTGAATAGTTTTAGGTAGGGTGAAATATGCTCAAACATATCAAAATTTTGCGCGATTTGGTCCACTAAGAAAAAAGTTAGGAGCGAAAAAGCTTCAAAGCATTTTACCGAAGACTTTTGAGCGCTACTGTATATGAGGTAGTAGACAGCTACAGCTGTTTTTGATCCGGGCGGTAGCATACTCTTTGGTCTTGGCTCTTGTTACTGCTTCCAATCTGTTGAATAGCGAAAAAAGTTACAGTAATGCACAGAGAACAGAAAATGCAAATCCGTTTTTGTCGGAACGATTATCTTCCCTGTGGCTGTACTCACTTCATACACATGAACGTAATGATCTCTGCCGTTCGCATCCACTAGAAAAGAGCATTGCAGTCAGAGAGGTAGCAGCCCAATGGATAGTCTGAACACCGACCAACTTTGCCATATAAAGGCTTCTAGTTGGATCACATAGCTTATTCCTGACCTCCTGTTTACTGTAGGATACTTTGCCCAGCTGAATTATAGCCTTCCCCGTGATCGTGTTAGATATTTCGAATTCTGGAATACACATTCCAGTGACACTATTCTAAAAAGGCATCCCGAAAAAAAAATCGAAAAATTCGGTTGCTTTTATTCTACAGCACCTTATCAGCTTTTACAGCAACTTATCATCTTCTGGGACCTTCTTTATGATACGATATCTAAATAACATTTTTCCACACTGTAGATGCAGCTGCCTTCTTAATATGAAGGCGCTACAACTATGAGGCTTCTACCTTTTATCGAACATATGAAATTTTACCGGGTGATATCCCCTATTACCACATTCTACTAGCTTAACCATCCCATATGAGCATTTCCTCAAATTCCAAAGGCTCCAGTTCTGGAGATGATGCGATTATGAATCTTTGGTCCAGCACATTCGCATTTTTCAGGTATGGCCAAGGCATTGACGCTGCTTTTCCTTTTGATCTTAGCCCTGGACTTGTCGGGGGTTGTTCAGTGCCTATCGGCAGAAGGAAAGGAATCTCTCGCAAAGGTGAGTTTCTTCGCTCGAGTCCATGGGCATGGTCAGTAAATTCAAGGGGCAAGTATTTCGATTCGCATTCTGTCTTTTCTCTTAGTCGGGGTGACATTCCCCTATGAGAATTTTTCCTGATCAAGATGAATTAATTATTATTCATTTGCTTCGTCTGGGAGAAGAATACGCTGTCTTTGCTCGATAGCCGTTCATGAGGGACCTTTCATTCCTTAATCTCTCACTTACTAACGGATCACATGATTCACCTGAATCAAGAAGTTTGATGCACTGAGAGTAAGTGATGACTGAACAAAAACCAAAAGATATTGTTTATTCTGCACAAGAGAACAGCAAGCACGGATAAGCTTCAAAAAAACCGACTTCCTAGCATTTTCTTTTTGCTGATGTCTCGTATTTGCTAAACTATTTTTGTGAATATTGTGATTTTAGGGTATTCCCGGAGGAGATCTAGAAAAGCGTCGCGAAAGATTGAATCACTTGAAAGAGTTGTTTGCTAAACGTTACAACCTTACGAGCGTTGGAAAGCCGGAAAATAAGGAAAAATCGACAAGTGATGGAGTATTAGCAGGAGAGGTGAGTGAGCGAAAGTGCGTCTGGCGAAGGTTCAACAGATTGGACACCAGTCGAGCCTCCCCTCTGTGGGACAAGGCAACCTAAGTAAACAGTGCCTTAGTTAGGCACAACACTATTCCTAACAACACTCCCACTTTTCCGTTCTCAGATGAAATCGCTAAGCCAGACCAATCAGCTTTAGCTTTCAGATAGTGCTCGGGGTGTCTCGAGTCTGCGGGTAGGAACTATGAAAATCGGGTTAAATAACCTCGAGGAGTATTGGTTGAATATGAAGGATACACACGTGATTTCACTAGAGCACCCCGTGGTCTCCATATCGAATGCACTCTGCTTACTTTGGAGGGCCACGGATAGACCCGGGAGACGAGTAGGGAAGACCAAGCTTTGCAGAGTCGTAAACATGATGATGGCATCTGTTTCGGGTACAGGATAGTAGGGCATCTAGGAGATGCTCGTTCATTCAGTACGGCCAAAACCTCAAGACATTTCAATGACAAAAGAATAGCATGTAACATGCATTAACGGCCGTGCATCACTGTGGAATTGCCCCTAAAAGGAATGAAAAAGAAGTTGAGTGATTTTGCCGAAAAGTCCCTATCTTAGGAAGTCGTTGCCAACGAAAATACCGATCTGAGTGTCGAAGAAATCAATCAGAGAGAAGGTGTCGCTGATTATCTTTTCGATGGAGACATTGACCTTACAGAGTAAGTATATCTCACCGTATCTTTTTTGTTCCTGGCAGAATAGCGAACCTTTACAGAGAACAACTGGAAATGATCGAGGCCAGTCTGAGCGACAGCAATCACACTCGTCGCAAACGTCAAATGGATACTCTCCTACCACGCTGGGAGAACAATCAGCTATTCTATTCGTTTGGCCCTGCTATGAGTAAGCTTTTCAATTTCCTAGCCCCTACTCCGGTTTTACTCCCAGTCTATTTGTAGCTTCAAATCTTACTCAACTTCCTTTCCAGCCACCAGGTTTCGGACTATCGTCAAACAGGCTCTGGCTTACATTGCTGGACGTACGTGTCTGACTTTTACCGAAAGTAATACGGCCCCCAATCGAGTGAACGTAATCAGCGGTTCTGGATGCTATTCTAAAATCGGAATGGTTGGAGGTGTACAGGATTTATCGTTGGGGAACGGTTGCGACCAAGTAAGCTTCCAGTCTCTGTTGATTTCTGAAAATTCTTGACTATCCAGTACTATTTCAGATGGGTATCGTCTCGCACGAATTCATGCATGCTCTAGGCTCATGGCACATGCAGATGCGAAGCGACCGGGACGACCACCTTATCGTTGATTTGACTTACGTGAAAGTAAGTGAGTTGGGTCTTTGCTCTTCGCGAAAAGTGAAGGAATCTTGAGCTTACCCTAATATGGCCACAGGTTTTTTGCCGTTTTTTTTTCTGAACCTTCTTAGGAAGGGCTTTGTTAGGCATGGTTTTGACCTTATCCATGTTAAAAACACACCAGTTCTCCCGACACGGCTGGCTTACGGCATCGGTTTGGTGCTGAAGTGAAGACTCTGACGTGAGCAGTGCACCGGGTAACTAAACACCTACTTTTGGACTAGTTTCGGTATCGGGAAGACACCATTGGGGGCCGAGTTTGGTCGATGGGCACCAGTTTTCATTACTGCTAGACTGGTTACCCAAGCTCCAACTTCACTAATAACAGTGTATACAAGAGTAAATAAGCATGCTCTCTGGCCACAACGTCCTATGTCGCTTTAGGCAGGTTATGAAGGAAATTTTGGCAAAATCGAAGCTGATCGTACCAACAACTATAATCCATTCGACTACGGAAGCGTAATGCAATATGCAGCAAATCTGTAAGTTATCTTCCTGGCAGGATTCCGATATCAATTGCTCGGACAATGAATCGCTCTTTTCAGATTTACCACTCAAGGATATTCAATGATACCTCGTATAGGGAAATATCTCATGACCCCGGGAACTCGAATTGTTTCATTTTATGACATCAAAATGCTCAACGACCACTATGGCTGCCGTGGTAAGTCAAGATACATAAGTAAACGCTTCGATCCTCCTGGACAGGTTTTCAAAAAAATGCAGCCTGAATACGCTACGCTGTCGACACCCTTCTGAGATCAAATGCAGAAATGACAAGGTACATACTTCAGCTCGATGCGGTGCAGCCACGTGCGCCAACGGAGGTGAACCGAGACCGAAAAATTGTGATGTATGCAACTGCCCAGAAGGTTACGGTGGAGCAAAATGCGCTGCACGTGTGGGTTAACTCACTTCCTTACCAGAAAGCACAGCTTCTGTCTGAGAGTCTTCTTAACCTAATTCTTGATACTTGGGTTCGACTGACTTTTGATTCAACTGACCTACTATTGAGTAATCATACCTCTTGCTCCTGACTCATAGATTACCATTTCTAGCCAGCTGGCTGCGGTGAGACTTTAGTGGCTACTGCTGCATGGAAAACGAAGACATTCACTTTTGGTAACGCAGTTGTCAAGAAAGAGCGTGATAACTATATGCGGTGTAATCATTGGGTAAAAGTGAGTTACTTTGACCAACTCAAGTTGGAGCCGTTTGCGATACCTACTTCCAGTCATTTTTAGGCGCCTGCTGGTAAAAAGGTCCAAGTTCGAGTCACAGCTGTGAAAAACGTGCAGTGCCGGGTCGGATGCCGACAGAATTCGATCGAAATCAAGTATCGGCCTGATAAAGGCATCACAAATCCCAGGTAGGAGTCGTTTTCTCCCAATTCCGCTACCTTTGGGAAGAAGTGGGCTTTCAGAAACATTCCATCCGTTTTAGAATATGCTGCGCGAACCTGCTGAATCAAATCGTCACGAGCGAACTCAATCCGACACCGATCATCTCGTACAACAGATACCTCACATCTACCTATACATTCCAATACAGATACATATGAATGTTTATGCTAAAATGACATAAATATTCATTTCTGCTTGGAAAGAGTTCCTGAAAAGAGAAAAATGAGAGAATTTCTCTCATCCTGCTGCTGATTCTCTCATATCCGCAATAGCCACTCAATCTTCCCCCTCTTATTCGAAACTATACCCTCGCCCCATTCTTCGCTTTCAGAATCAAAGACCCTTTTTATAGTCCTTCTCCCTTGTAGTTTGAACTTTACTGTGAACATCCAGTAGCTCCATGTAGACTATTTAAGGTACACGCCCAATTACACCTATGTCAGCAGCTGGTCTTTGTTTAATGAGACCGTCAGACTGAAAAACCCCACGTGAAAGACTCCGATGCGGAGGTTGAGTG